TTGTAAACAAGGAATTTACATCAAATGAACACATTGTCTTTTCCTTGATATTAATATCATCTAAATGATCAACCAGTTCAAAAGGATCCTTTAGAGAAAACTTACATAGATGTCTTCGAATAGGATCCAACAACTTTGCTAACCATTTAGCCAGATTATGTGTAGGTGATCTGCACATTGATAGAATTGGACGTAAAGGAACATTAGGTTTGTGAGTTTTAGGCAGTCCATATAAATGAGGGTACTCGGAACCCATAGGTTTTAGAAAGTTAAATTCCAAGCTTTGCCCTACTCATCGTAGGGAAGCGTACAATGCCACAATTCGTTCAAACGTCACACAAGACGGCCAATATAACCATTGTGTAAGCAGTGAACCAGCGTTCCCAATGGTTACCTTCAAACGCTTTACATATTAAACCTGTAAACTGTAATTTTTCTCATCACTTTCCCAATGGGCAACTGTCCACCAAGTCATGTTCAACAAATTAGTCCACCTTATCAGAACGATGAATTTTTTGGCCATCAGAAATCCTAAGTCCCACTAGCACTACAGTTTCTTCAGGTCGTAGCCCACACGATCAATCAAACATATTAAACCGTAGTCCAGGTAAATCTATTAAACAACATCAATGGGGAAGCTCTCGGTGTTTTACACTCTATAATCCCCTTTTTAAACTTATTGCTTATCAATGCAAGTTCACTTCTGACAAAATTTCAGACTTGAGAAACATAGATTCTCCAACCAAGCCTTCTTTCATACTTATCACTGGAACATAGTGCTCTCAAGCAGTATTTGATTCAGATTTAAATATCCAGAATTATTGACTCTATCGCTAAAACAGAGAAATTAAACAAGGAGGTAGTTGTCTTATATATGTTTTGGGTACCCTAAAAACTAATAAAGTTGAATACAGTGCCCTGAATAATTTACCAGAATCGGTTTGAATGTCAATCAACTACCTGAATTATGGTCTACAGAGCTCCCGATAGTTTGAATTCTGGGAATGATCTTATTATCAATGCATTTTTCGTGCCTCCAAGTAACCCTCGTGTTATTGATAGAAGAAACCAGACAAGTAGTGAATAGGTCTTTATTTAGAACTTCGCGCAGTCACAGTGGAGCGTGGGATGATTTGTTCAGACAAACAAAGCCCCTCAACACTTAATAAAAGATTATAGAAAATATAACGTCTACACAAAATAAGCGAATGAATACTTAAAATATACTATTTTGATATATGCTCAGTTGTTTCAGGTGAACTCTTAACCAACCAACCTAAGGTGTTACACATTCGTACATGCATCTGATCTAAACTTCAATGCTAAGGTTGCCACTGGAGTTTTCAATTATCCTTGGATTAACTGGAGTAGCGGTAGTTGTCAGCAATCAGTAACATGCACTGCTGGTAATACTGGATTTGCACCCCAACTAGGGGTGATAGTATTGTAGTGACACACTTTTATCAACAGAACGCGATTGGTGTAATGGAAAAATTGCTATTATAACAAATTGTAGCAGGGATTGTTTTACTGTAATTGTTTGTTTAACTGTACTAAAGACACATTCTTGCGTCGACTGTGACCTTTCACGGATTTGGTTAGGCTCAGTAACCACACTTGTAACCTGACACGATCTCGGTATTCTCTCGATACCACGAGATCGTCAACAAATACATCTCAAATACAACCATCAACGTTTTTCTGATATTTAGCTTATCGGTTAACGGGCACGTAGTCTTCTTGTAGTGATGATCATAGTCAACTTCTACTCAACGCCACACTACAGTATGCTAATTCTAATATTTAGTAGAGATGTCATCCCACTATGTGTAAAAGTATGCAATAAATTTGAAAGCAGTGACCAAAAGAAACTAGTTTGTGCTCCCCCTCTCTATCATTCTTATAAATGATTCATTCATAAACCTGTCAATATAGATACTACAAGCATGCTGACTGGAATTTTCTACCCTCACTGATTAAACTCTCAGACTGGATTAACTTTTTCTCATGAAATATTCTTATAGATGCCATCAACAAAATTTTATCCGATCGTTGAATTTTGTCTAGATTACTGTGCACCAACTAAAACGTACAAGTTTAGTAAACATTACGAATTATATATAAGAGCTAAATATCGTGATCATCTGATATGCCCACAGAAACGCTATTTTAAGTCAAACGACTTCACGGCAGTTGCACAAATAACAATGACTTTTAACGAAATTAAAGATACACACAGGTTAAAAGCCATAAATGAGAATTTATTAACATTTGTTACTAGCTCAAAGGTACAAAACTTAATTCTCCTTTTTAATAAACGCGCTAAACCAACTCAAGATAATAATATACCATGCATCCTGCATAATAGCAATTTTATATACGACTCTAAAACTATAGCAGAACTTTTTAATGGTATTTTTGTAAATGGCACAGGAAATAAACTTAAATACACCGTTCATGATCTCTAGCGCTTCAAAATTCCCGTCACTTTTTTTTCACAAACTTCTACCACTTCTAAGGGCCATCTTTCACGGGTCAAAACTTCCGAACCCAAAATTATTGTATCTTATTTCTGGAAGTTGCAATGTTCGACTTACCATTTTTGACGTGTTTGTATGGATGGTAAATATTCTTTTAGTTACCTTTTTGAAAACACATCAGCTTGATAATTAATCTGTTTCCAACGTTTGTCACATTTATTTCTGATATTACGTTCCTTTACCATTCTGTCACATTTTCCCAATAACAGCAAAATATTTGAGGATAAACCTGGCTTATCATTAGCGTCCGTGATAACTGGGGTTAAAAACTGATTGCTTAAAGTTTTCGTTAGTAACATATTGTACTTTAGTGGTCAATAATAAAAGCCGATGTGTTGATTTAATCAACGTTTCCCATACTCCACCTATGTGGCTGAATAAGAGGAAGTTGAAATTCCATTGGACCTGTCCAGTTGATAGTTAATTACTCATCCTTTTCTGGTTTCACTGTTGTACAAATTTACGAAGTTCGGAAACTACTCACGAAATTCGGTCAATTGTCACTGCATACTTCAATGGGCTTCCTGATTTTTCCCATTAAACACAACGATGACATTTTTAAGTGGATCAGTGTTTAGATAATACGTCACTTCAATACATAGTACTCGTGTTTGTAAACAAGTAAATATGCACCTATATCTTATTTCCAGTGACCTTCCTATCTTGGCTACAAAAGGTCCAAATTAGTCTAACTCCACGGCTGAGAAGCTATATCAACCTTGTTGCATTCTACAAGCGGAAAGCGGTACCAGATCAGATTACAACAGCATTTCTCCGGGAGCAAATGTTTCTGTTGAGGTAACGTCTGGTAGGTTTCACTTATTTCGAGGATCAATGAGTTGTATATTCTCATTTTCACAGCTTCTTGAATAGTTTTCCTTGTCTCCTACATTGCTCGTACATTCCATGTACCTACGTTAATCGTTGATCTGATGAGGAGGTTGGTCGGCTCAGAATTTCCACCGAATTTCAGGTTTAACTAAAAGGTCTCATGCTTCTTTTAAATGAACAACCTTCAACTCCCAGAGTATTGTTTAGTTGGTTTAAATGAACTTTGGGTTTGGTGTTTATTTAGACATGGTTACCGTCCACTGGATATGATTGCTAATTCTATGCCTGACATTTCTCCTTTATCTGGGCTTAGGATCAGCAGTAACAGTAGAAGTGCTACAAGAAGAGCTTTTTCTCGCCGCCAGTTATGAAAACCTTTGTTATGCAGATCTTATTAATATGGATGTTTTCAATGGTTGAATATATTATCGTTATTCACGAGTTCAAAACATTCTTTCCGGATTCAGAAACAATTATTAACATCATTTGGTTTATTCGACTATTTTATTATTAACACTGGTAATATAAAGTTCGTCGTTTATTTAAAAACTCGAGGTATCAGACTCCGAAATTTCAGTATGACCTACTGAATTTCCAGCATTAGAGATTACTGTACAATTCTAGTAGGAATGAGGTCTATATGATATTAAAGACAGATATCTGTTCTCACTTTGTTGCAGAAGCAATCGCTTTGTGGGTGAACGGAATGAGGTGCTCTCAGGTACTCTCGTCCTAATGGTGGTGAGGAAAATTTCATCAGGACGTTAATAAATGCAATTGCTTTGATTGCTGTTACAACATTTGATGAATCGGGACTAAAGTAGACAGATTTCTTCTGCAACATAGAAATCCTAAACAGTCTGTGACGAAAGACGATCCGTAAGTCTTTTTTCTAAAACGACTCTCCATTTAAATTTTAAATATGTAGAGTCTGCAGAAGTTACGTATTTTCGTGGAAACAATCTTCGACCAAAAACGGGGACTGATCTGAAGAATGTCGGAAAGTCTACGGTTTGAATTCTAGATAGCAGTGATTTAAGCACATATAACAAGGATGTTGATGAAGTAATATTCCAAGAACCAGGTAAGTCTGTCCCAATTTCGACCATTAATCCTAATACCAACTAATACGTTCTAAAGAAAGCAAACGTTATACCCAATAAGAAGTCGGACAGACTAGTGAAATTACGAATGTTTCTGTAATACTGCAGCACTCTTGGCTAGTCGTCATATATCTGCGAAGAATTCCCAGACTTTTCAGAGGTGATGCATAATTACTTTGACCTTTAATCCATCCTGAACTCTTCTTAGCCTTCAGGTAACCGTGTAACTATACTACAGGACGTCCTATAGATCTGGGAATCCATACAAATATAACAATATGATCAGTGGGGTAAAAGAAAAGCTATTCGTTCGTACCAATATAGTCACAGCTGGTCGAAATCTCAAGCTGGGAACATATTCACATTTCAATAGGATGCATCAACTCTAATCATGTAATAGAACTCAACAGTGCGTGACTATATTTGGAGTGTTTAACATATTGGTATCCATAACTACATTTAGGTATAGATTAAAGCGCAGGTATGAGATAATCAAGTGGCAAATTACGATTTCAAGGTCATGGCGCGTATTCCGGATTGGCGTGTTGACTGTCGTCTGCGGTTTTTTTGTGACTAGGATGTTATAACGTACTTATCAGAAAAGGGTCTATTCCAGTATCATTTTATGTTACTACTGTAAGATAGTACATATAGGTTTAATTGGGAAATAGTGTTGGGACTTAAGGTCAAGAGTTAGTGCTGTGTCAAGGTAGGGGCTATAACCCCTTATAACCATTCATCCTTATCCCTATAGGGATAAGGATGAATGGTTAGTCATTTCGTTGCCTAACTCTGTTCGGAGATCAGTCTGTTTAAAAGCCTTGTTTGCTTTCAGTATGTGAGTGACATTTCTCTCTGGTGATGACTCATCAATTGCGATTAATTAATCCCAATTGATAAGTCTTGAAATAGTTTAAACCATTTCGAAATTGGCAGGCCAAATAAGATTGCTTAATATTTCTCACCTCGCTTGTTTATCTCCTCTGGCTCGAAATGGGTAAAGCAGCCTGCCAACTAGCATAGGAAGCAGTGAAGGTTGATGGTGGGATAAAACCACGGGAATGCGTACAATTTATCAAGGCGTTTTGACTGTAGCCTGTATATTCCTTATGATTTTTTGCAGTCATTAGCGTACATATAAGCCGTCATCGATCTCCTGCTGTCATATAATTAGTTACAACCTGTCAGTTGGACTAATATCTGATGACCAATTATGTTATTGTTCATCCATTTCGTCGGTTATTTTATAGTATTTCCACTTATAACTGGCCATTTACTTTGTCAGTATGCAATGTTTGTTGGATTTATCTGAATGAAAATTAGAGGGGGGCGACACTAAGACATGGCATTTCACTAATCTATTGAGTGATAGCCGTGTTGGTACGTGCAGACTAGCTCGTTAGGGTTCACTCGACTATTGTAACCGGTTATTGAAACCTAGGTGGCGTGCCTCAAAATTGACCTGGATGGTGCAGGTCTATTTCCCTTTCCCTTTTTTACGTCCTAAGTCCTTAAACTATTTGAAACTTTCTTCATTACTCCACTAGTTGAAGTTTTCTCGAGCCACATCTTTGTCTGATATTTTTTAATTGTTGCTATTACTGTTACTATTTTATCGTTTTAGTATTTGTCAAGACAAATACTCTTTGCGCTTACATAGTGTGGCAACCTAAATCGGTGCCGGCATACGCCAGCTTCAACACTGCTTATAACTGACGTACTTTATACTTGACTTTAAACATTCTACTGGTTAGAGTTTAAACCCGTAATCAAATTAGTTAAATTATTTATACTGTCATCTTGTATATGTTGGCAAGTTGATATCTATTAAAATTAAAGGGCAGTTGATACTTGAAGCTTACTTCGTTTTCTATTTTTAAAAGTGGTTGGTCATGTTTATTATGTTTGTTTATTTCCTGTCCGGTCTTTTTTTCGTTACGTTTTTTCGGTTCTACCTCTATTGGGTTGGATATGTTAACTTTTACTCATGCAGTTTTGTGTCAGACTCTACATTCCACCCGTTTTATCTTGATATAAATTGAAGTTGCCATAGCCGCTAGTTATTTAGAAACTCAACATTAATTCGTTTTCACAGTCATATATTGATATTCTTTGTATTTCATAAGTTCTTTATCTTTCTACTTGTCAGTTCTAAAGGTTACCGGTAAACGCAGGAGTACTCGGTGTTTTTTGTATCAAACTGCAGGGTTAATATTATCTATGGCTAGTAAAAAATGCATGCCCTTGATAACTAACTACAAATCAGATGATTCCTCGTTGGATGATGATGATGCTGATTGTGATGATATCTTTAATAGTCTCACAGAGAATAGTCCAAATAATGCTCTTGATGAAGATGACCAGCCATTGGTTAGTTTACAACATAATCATTTCCCCACTGATTTATTCTTTATTTGTATAGTTTTTTATTGGACTATAATCAACATTTTTACTATCATTGCTTTTAACACTCACTAAAATCTCTGAGATTTTACAAGGGTCTAAATATGTTTGGTGTTTAAATGCATATCTGAATTAAATCTTCGTGCTTACGTCAAAACTTTGGATATAAAGTTTATTTATTTATTTAAACACGTAAATATTGGTACAAGGGGGCTCCAGATACATATGCGCTACGCAATAATAATCAGAGTGGAAAGAGATAAAGGATGTCAGGTGCGTGTAAAAAGAAAAAAAGAACAATAACGACCATAAATTAGTGTATGGTAGTCAAATAGTAATAATAATGGGGGAAACAGAAAGGTACTACCAGAAATAATTCTTTCAGTTAAGGAAGTTACGGTCACGTTTTGTTAAGAAAGTAAAAGAAGGTTACAGCAGGATCACCACTGGCTATTATTCTGAGTCATATCTGATAACGTATCTAGCCACTGTGTTGCACCATCTCTAGGACCCCAACCAGGGAGTCGTGAAGGGCCAACACAAGCTAGCCCTGTGCAGCTTTTATACCACGACATGTCATACACTGACCACCTCTCCGCTTTTTCCAACCAGTCCCAGAGTCGGCAAATAATGCACGACGTGGAATTCTCTGGAACGACATTCGTAAAACATATCCAAGCCACCGAAGTCGGTGTTTCAAGATGGTGACACCAATTGGATTATCGTCTCTGCGTCCAAATACACGATGCTTAACCTCTGCATTACTGACATGGTGTTGCCACTGGATGCCAGCAATCCTTCGGAGACAACGATGATGTAAAGTCTATCTCTTAGAAATGGCTGGGTTTAAAGATATACAATGAAGTTCATATAACTTGCTAAAATATGCTGCTCACCATCAATTAATTCTTTTGAATTAAGAAAAGTTTCTTTGAAGCTGACTGACTCGCCATGATCAGTTGTCGATGTTCACAAATCAAACATTTAAACTAGACATATCTGTTTACTGGTGGTTTTCACTAATTCAAGCTTATCAAATCTATTGGTCTGGAAAGGTAATCCAGTCACTGCTTTTAAAAGAAAATGATTTGTGTTTTGACATTACAACTTGTTCTTCAGGTTTATATTGAATACTTGTAACTGTCAAGTTTCAAATTCGAAAACCACACAGTAGTAAGGTGTTTCTCTCACACAATCAGCATCTAAAGCATCGCTTTCATCCCACCAGTTTCAAGGGTATGACCGATTTTGGGAGGATAGTTACTTACTTATGCCTGTTACCCCCTATGGAGGAGCATAGGCGCTCACCAGCATTCTCCATCCAACTCTGTCCTTGTCAATTCTTTCCAGTTGTTTCCAGTTGCTATTCATCCTTTTGATGTCTGCTTTCGATTCTCGGCTCAATATGTTCTTGATCTTTCCTCTGTTTCCATTCATTACTCCATGTTTAGGCTTGCCTCGAGTTTTGGTTTGATGATTTCTTCGATATGTGTCTTACCCATCTCTATAATCTTTTCCTAATTTCCTCCTCAGCTGGAAGATGGTTTGTTCTTCCCTATAGTAGGATGTTGTAGATGGTACCTGGCCAACGGATAGTATCTTGTGTAGACAATTGTTTATAAATACTTGTACATTTTGGATGATGGTTGTGTTAGTTCTCCAAGTTTTAGCTCCGTACCGTATGACTCTTTAAATAACATCTCCAAACCCTAATCTTCCCGATCACTCCTTACACTCTTGCTACCTCTCCCACAATGGGATTTGAATCGACAACTGCATCTCTGTGTTAAGGTGGTGTGGCAACTCGAACTGATGTACGTACGTTCGAAGTTCTACGTTGTTACTGACTGACTGACTGAAATTCAGATGCATCTGGCTTCTTGTGTATATTTTGAATAAAACTGTGCCTATCTTGGGTTTTACCAACTTTCAGTGTGAACATACTTCTCCAAGCCCTCGTAATTGGCGTTGTTTGTTTTTATTTTTTAAAACTCAAATTCGTATTGAATAATTTATCTTACCTTTTGTTTATTATTTTAGTCTAATTTCCGTCCTCTTCACTCATCACAAAATGATTTTCTAAAACGTTTGACTGTTATGCAACCATCTACAAATGATTCCTCTATCGGTTCATTTAAACAACAACTTACGTCTACTGAAGACTCGATATTACCAAATATATCTGATTCAGAAGATTCTGATTCTTTTTCATCCAGCACTGATGAGGAGTTCAAGAAACTGGTGGATACTTCTTCTTCATTACCCGTAACTGAAGTAAGATATATACGGGGATTTTTATAAAGTTAAACAAATCACATCTTTTATTTTTACTCATAGTTACCCTCAATATCAATCAATCCCGTGATTTTTTCCTTTTTTTTGTTTGATTGTAATAACGCTTACATGTACTCCTATATGCAAGATATGCCGAATTCTTATTACAAGACAATGATGACATACGTCTCTTTAAAATTTCCGTAGTGTTATATCCTAGATATGTATTTATGTGTTAGGTGTTTCATATAAACACTGACTATCACATTTTTCCCTCAGCCCTATTTATGTGAGATAAATCTTTGTGAAGTGTCTAAAACCCACTAAAGGAACCAAATAACGGTACAGATATTACACATGATTATATTTACACTGTCCTTAAAAATACAATAACTAATGAGCACACCGAAACAAGTTCAAAACATCCGGTTCAAATGAAATATATGATAGTAGGAGGTCAATAAAAACTCAATTTACTCAAAATAAGCTTCTAGAAAATTATATATATAACGATATTTTGGAGTGAGCACTCACCTCTCAAAGATGAAACATACTATTCAGTCTCGGTAAACGTTGAAAGTACACTTGTTGAGTTTGGATGAAACTTCATAAAACTAGAGAGTATTTCTTTCCTTCATCTAGATCAAATTCAGTAATTAGGAACGTACGATATGGAAAAAAACACATGGTATCAATTCACCAGACGACATCAGCTCAACGAGATGAAGTTAAGATGAACAGTGAGGTATTAAGTGGAGTAGTACTAATGATAATAAAGGCGATTCAAAATAGACAATATGGCTCGACAAAGATTCGCAACACCGTCAATCGATCAACCTTATTCGCCTTGTATTCTACGTCTAACTTTAACGTTGGTTACTCAGTAGTTCCAACAAAACTGAGAAATGCTTCGAACTCGCCTATGATCAAATACTAGTAACCTACAAATATCTTCGGCCTTTAAAACCCACGTTTCACGGCGGTAAATTAGAATTGTACTGCTGCACAGTATACTCACCTCTTCGTTGGCCAACGGACACTTCCCCAACATCACAAGTGACACAAGTTGGCAAAAACCAAACAAGTTTTTCAAGTACGCGCCGATGTTTCCATCACGTTTGACTGAAACTGGTATTTTTGTGATCTTTCACACTTCAGGATTGTTGTGACCACTGTAATATAGCAATGCCACGTAGATCATACCTTGTTTTACATTGTACGATACTATGTATAAATCGTTTCGTTTATTCAGCTAATTTTATTCTCTTCAAGTATTAAAACTTTCAATAATATTATCAACAACATCACCTCACTATATTATACTCTTTAAGGAACATCTCCAAACACTAATCTCTCCGATTACTGCTTATACTCTTACTACCTCTACCACTACGGGATTTGAATCGACCACGGCACCTCTGTGCTAATGTGGTGTGGCAACTCGGACTGATGTACGTACGTACGAAGTTCTACGTTGTTACTGACTGACTGACTGACTGACTGACCTCTATCCGTAAATATCACATTTGATATTTGACTTCGTTACTGTTTACTTCTATTTAGTGCAAAACCATTTAGAAACGACCAACAAGTAAAGTTGACCAGATCCATTGCCTAAAAAAAAATCATAAATTGGTTCGTTTTGCTTCTAAGTTTTTTTATTTATTTTGCAGCTCCTTCGGTCCAAACAATTTACACTTATGTATAGCGATAAAAACTATCAAAAAGGCAAATCAGATAGAATAATGTAAGTCTTTTATACGAGAATACGCTTTAATTTCCCTTGTTGAATAATCTTGCTATTTACTGAGTTGTGTAATTTTAGTGTATTTAATCTAGACCAAATACTTGTCTTTGTACTTAATTTTGGGCCAAACTGTTCAAGAGTCAGTAGTCCTATCCGACTGCTCAAACTGAAATAGGTTGGACAAAGTTCTGACTTTTTACCTAACAGTTAAAAGTTAGACATTTTTGATCATTAATTCATTTTCTATCATTTTTATTTAAACACATAAACATTGGTACAAGGAGGCACTTAATAGATATGCGCCACATAAATCATTTGATTTGTGTGGGTTCTGAGATACTGGCCGGGTGCCCAAATCAAAGCAGGTTGTTTTCTTAGGGAGCCGCACCTGGAGTCTTCGACTTAAAGATCTGATCCACAAGGCAGTGGAGCAACGTCAAGAGATGCAGTCCCATGGTAGCCAGTGACAAACGATTGGTTCATACGCCATTTGTTCCCTCAGGATACTGGAGTCCATGTACACCACTGGTTTGGAATCGGGTTTTTTCAACTCCCCTAGGTAGGCTCTCCATGTCCACCAACCCGGTTGCAGCGTCGGACATTTGTTTTTCGTCTTTTTAATTTCGTAAATAACAGTAACTCTGCAAGAAAGCAATCGGTAGGACTTCCCTGGCAGTGGTTGTATGCACGTGGCTTTGTGAAAGCATTTCGATAGGGAGAGCTGACTCTCCCCACTCTCGACCGTACCAGGACATTTTTTCTATTTATCATAGATCGAGTTCTATTTTTTTAAATTGTTTGTTTTTAAATTGAGTTTCATTGTTCTTACAGTTTAATTTGTTAAAAACCGTGTTTTTAAAGAAGTGCTTTCACTGGTTATTGTTTA